AGCTGTGATGCCATGGCACTCTACCCAGGGGGACAGCTTGAGGCTCCGTCTCAAAAAAAAAAACAAACATAAAATAGAAACTAACTTTGTTTGGAAGAAGCAGGTACTGATAGCTGGGGTAGCAACTTGGGAGATGTTTAATTTTTATCAGTTCCTTTTTTTTTTTTCTTTGAGATTCTCTTGCCTCAGCCTCCCAAGTAGCTGGGACTATAGGCGCCCACTACAACGGCTGGCTATTTTTTTTGTTGTAGTTCTGGTTGTTTAGCAGGCCCAGGCTGGGTTTGAACCTGCCAGCCCCAGTGTATGTGGCTGAAGCCCTAGCTGCTGAGGTACAGGCACCGAGCCTATCAGTTCCTTCTTAATGGACATTTATGCTGTGGAATTGCAAATTATACAAGTTAATATAACAAACTGTATAATAACAAGTTAGATTTGTCTTGTAGGAAGGGCAATAAGGTCAGCCTTTATGAGATTCTGATGGAGCAGATATGAAGATTACAGGTTCCTCAACCCCAGGACTTGGGCAGTGACTTCAGTTTAGTATCTTGCAAATTAAATTTTTCGGTAAAGTTACTGAGAATTAGACTCTGTGCATTTAACCAACATCCTCTAATTAGTTGTACGGGTTTTTCTAATTTTTTGCTGTTATGAACTAGTATAATAAGTCCTTAAGCATTTTTGGCACTTGGGCAAATATATAAGAACCTATCTTAATATTTATCATACACAAATTGAAATTTGTCTTGTTTTCTACTATACTGTCTCTTGCGAGGAAGAACTGCTTCTCATTACTCTTTGAATCCCAAGTTCCATAAATAATTCTTCTGAGATGGAATTCACATAAAATTAACCATTTAAAAGTGTACAACTGGCCGGGCCAAGTGACTCAGGGCTGTAATCGTAGCACTCTGGGAGGCGCAGGTTGGAGGATCCTTTGAACACAGGAGTTGGAGATAAGCCTGAGCAATAGTGAGACCCTGTCTCTACTAAAAATAGAATTACCTGGCTCGGCGCCTATAGCTCAACCGGC